ACACTTGAGGGATCGGGGACGTGACACCTCAGGGATTGGGGAGGTGACACCTCAGAGATGTGACACCTCATGGATGGGGGAGGTGACTCTGAGCTTTGGGATGTGACACTGGGGGGTGTGTTGGGGACACTGCGGGGCCCTGACCCCTGTCCCCCTGTCCCCAGAGGTGCAGTGTCCCAAGGAGGCCTCGCGCAGGCGTCGCTCGCTGCCGCTCGTGCAGTACAAAGGCACCAAAGGTGGGTGGCACTGAGGGTGGCCCCTGTCCTGTGTCCTGTACCCCCGGGGACACCAGAGTGTCCCCTGTCCCTGGGGGCCACCAGAACAGCCCATGTCCCAATCAATGATGGTGTCCCATGGCCCTGAGGGACACCAGAGTGTCCCCTGTCCCCGGGGGCCACCAGAACAGCCCATGTCCCAATCCATACCAATGTCCCATGTCCCTGAGGAACCCCAGAATGTCCCCTGTCTCTGGTGACACCAGAGTGTCCCCTGTCCCTGGGGGCCACCAGAACAGCCCATGTCCCAATCACTGATGGTGTCCCATGGCTCTGAGGGCCACCAGAGTGTCCCACGTCCCTGAGGAACCCCAAAGTGTCCCACATCCCTGAGGAACCCCAAAGTGTCCCACCTCCCTGATGACACCAGACTATCCCATGTCCTTGAGGAACCCCAGAGTGTCCCATGTCCCTGAGGAACCCCAGAGTGTCCCACCTCCCCGAGGAACCCCAAAAGTGTCTCACATCCCTCAGGAATCCCACAGTGTCCCACATCCCTGAGGAACCCCAAAAGTGTCCCACATCCCTGAGGAATCCCACAGTCTCCCACCTCCCTGAGGAACCCCAGAGTGTCCCACATCCCCAAGGAACCCCAAAGTGTCCCACCTCCCTGATGACACCAGACTATCTCACATCCCTGAGGACCCCCAGACTATCCCACCTCCCTGAGGAACCCCAGAGTGTCCCATTTCCCTGAGGAACCCCAAAATGTCCCACATCCCCAAGGAACCCCAAAGTGTCCCACCTCCCCGAGGAACCCCAAAGTGTCCCACCTCCCTGAGGAACCCCAAAGTGTCCCACCTCCCTGAGGAACCCCAAAGTGTCCCACCTCCCTGAGGAACCCCAGAGTGTCCCATGTCCCTGAGGAACCCCAAAATGTCCCACACCCCCAAGGAACCCCAAAGTGTCCCACCTCCCTGAGGAACCCCAGAGTGTCCCACCTCCCTGAGGAACCCCAGAGTGTCCCATGTCCCTGAGGAACCCCAAAGCGTCCCACACCCCTGAGGAACCCCAGACTATCCCACCTCCCTGAGGAACCCCAAAAGTATCCCTCCTCCCTGAGGAACCCCAAAAGTGTCCCACCTCCCTGAGGAACCCCAAAAGTGTCCCACGTCCCTGAGGAACCCCAGAGTGTCCCATTTCCCTGAGGAACCCCAAAGTGTCCCACGTCCCTGAGGAACCCCAAAGTGTCCTATTTCCCTGAGGAACCCCAAAGTGTCCCACATCCCTGAGGAACCCCAAAGTTCCCACCTCCCTGAGGAACCCCAAAGTGTCCCACACCCCTGAGGAATCCCAAAGTGTCCCACATCCCTGAGGAACCCCAAAAGTGTCTCACATCCCTCAGGAATCCCACAGTCTCCCACCTCCCTGAGGAACCCCAGAGTGTCCCACATCCCCAAGGAACCCCAAAGTGTCCCACATCCCTGATGACACCAGACTATCTCACATCCCTGAGGACCCCCAGAGTGTCCCACCTCCCTGAGGACCCCCAGAGTGTCCCACGTCCCCGAGGGCCCCCGGGGCGTCCCCCCACGCCGGGTGCCAGCGGCCGTGCCGGTGCCGCAGCATCCGAGTACCAGGACAAGGCGCTGCGGAAGTGCTGCGAGGACGGGATGCGGGAGATCCCGATGGATCACAGCTGCGAGAAGAGGAGCTCCTACATCCAGGAGGGCGAGTCCTGCGTCCGCGCCTTCCTCGACTGCTGCAAGTACATCGAGGGCATCCGCCAGGAGAAGCGGCGCCAGAGCAAGATCCAGCTGGCACGAAGCAAGTGATGGAAACGGGGACGGGGTACGGGGGGAAAGGGGGCAGAACCAGGGGAGCCGTGGAGGTCCTTGGGGGAAGGAGGGGAAGGTTGGGAGTTTTCTTGGGTGTTCCTTTAGGGGGAAGGTTGGGTGAATATTTGGGAGTTCCTTGGGTGTTCCTTGGATGAAGATTTGGGAGTTCCTTGGGTGTTCCTTGGGTGAACATTGGGTGTTCCTTGGGTGTTCCTTTGGGGAAGGTTGGGTGTTCCTTGGGTGTTCCCTGGGGTGAAGGTTGGGTGTTCCTTGGGTGAGCATTGGGTGTTCTTTGGGTGTTCTTTGGGTGTTCCTTGGGCGTTCCTTGGGAGTTCCTTGGGTGTTCCCTGGGGTGAAGGTCGGGTGTTCCTTGGTTTTCCTTGGGTGTTCTTTGGGGGAAGGTTGGGTGAAGATTTGGGAGTTCCTTGGGTGTTCCTTGGATGAAGATTTGGGAGTCTCTTGGGTGTCCTCTGGTTGAAGGTTGGGTGTTCCTTGGGTGAAGGTTGGGAATCTCTTAGGTGCTCCTTGGGGGAACATTGGGTGTTCCTTGGGTGAATATTGGGTGTTCCTTGGGTGTTCCTTGGGTGTTCCTTGGGTGTTCCTTGGGTGTTCTTTGGGGGAAGGTTGGGTGAATATTTGGGAGTTCCCTGGGTGTTCCTTGGATGAAGATTTGGGAGTTCCTTGGGTGTTCTCTGGGGTGAAGGTTGGGTGTTCCTTGGGTGTTCTTTGGGTGTTCCTTTGGGGAAGGTTGGGTGTTCCTTGGGTGAGCATTGGGTGTTCCTTGGGTGAACATTGGGTGTTCCTTGGGTGTTTCTTGGGTGAACATTGGGTGTTCTTTGGGTGTTCTTTGGGTGTTCCTTGGGGTGAAGGTTGGGAGTTCCTTGGGTGTTCCTTGGGTGAAGGTTGGGTGAATTTTGGGTGAATGTTGGGTGAACATTGGATGAACTCGGGATCAGAGTTGGATGAATGTTGAGTTACGTTTGAATGAGTGTTGGGTGAATGTTGGTGAATTTTGGGTGAATTCTGGATGAATTTTGGGTGAATTTTGGGTGAATTCTGGATGAATTTTGTGTGAATTTTGGGTGAATTCTGGACGAATTTTGGGTGAATGTTGGGTCAATTCTGGATGAATTTTGGGTGAATTTTGGGTGAATTTTGGGTGAATTTTGGGTGAATTTTGGGTGAATTCTGGATGAATTTTGGGTGAATTTTGGGTGAATGTTGGGTGAATGTTGGATGAATTCTGGATGAATTCTGGATGAATTCTGGATGAATTTTGGGTGAATTTTGGGTGAATGTTGGGTGAATGTTGGGTGAATTCTGGATGAATTTTGGGTGAATGTTGGGTGAATGTTGGGTGAATTTTAGGTGAGTGTTGGGTGACTTTTGGGTGACTTTGGGGCGAAGGTTGGGTGAAGGTTGGGTGGGCAGCCCCGGGGGGTGCCTGGCCGGTGCTGGGGTGATACCGGCTCCGCTCAGGGGTGGCCATGAGGCCACGGACGAGAGGGATGCCCACACCCCCAGGCGAGGAGGACGAAGTGTTCCTGAGCGACGAGGCCATCACCTCGCGGAGCCTCTTCCCGGAGAGTTGGCTGTGGCAGGTGGAGCAGCTGACGGAGGCCCCCAACGAGCTGGGGTGAGCCCTGCCCCTGTCCCCC